GGTGCTCCTGACCCGCTGCACTCTCCGGGAGAGCCGAGCCACCACCAGCAAACAGCTGCGGTCCCGTCCGCGGCTGCTCCTCTGCTCCATCACCTCCGATTATTTTGCACCGGGCAGCCCACGTCCCACTGGGTTTGCTTCGTTCGTCTGGAAAATGAAGCAACCCCTGGGGTCAAACGATGCTGCTGTTCAACAGCAGAGAGAGGCCGATGCAGAGGGTGAGCCCGGCCGGGAGTTTGCAGATGATGCAGGTGGGGATGATGCAGCCGGGCCCCGGGGAGACCCGCCGGGATGCCGGAGGTGAATCGCCGCTCAGAAAGAACGGATACATGCGAGCAGCTTCAAACGCTTATAAGTTATTTAGGAGCCCATGTGCCACTTTAGGAAATGATTTACATAAATCACTTGAATGTCTTACAGAATTTGTAAACGCGCCGGCTCCGCTGGGCACCGCAGTGGGAGATGCCGGGGCTCAGCGTGCGGCCGGCAATCGGCCCTAAACCAGGAGGACGACGTTATTTGGGGCCAGCGGCCGGCTCTGCCACCCACGCGTGGTCCCCAAGTTGTTTTTCCAGAGCCAGATGGGCCCGTGCCGTTTGTTTATTGACTGTCTAAAGCTCCAAGAAATATCTGGGTATCAGTAATTCCCGCGCCTGGTCTCTCCAGCTGTGTTGGAGATGCTTTTCACTCCGGCTCTATGATTATCCACTAACGCTGCGCCGCGGGGGAGCTCTGCTCACCGCGGGGCTCCCGGGCTTGTGACTGCCGCAGCTCTGTGCGGGGCCGTGGGGTGCTGCGGGCTGGATGCCTGCGTCCCCCAGTGGGTGCTGGGGCGTGGGGCCCGTGGGGCCGAGGGTCAAGATAGAACAGGGAGACCAGCAGCATCCGCTGGTTGAGTCCCCTGAGACCGACAGCCTGAGCGTGCCCCCTTGCACCCCTCCCTCCGAGCTCCCACGGGTGCTGGAGGACACCCCGGCACCCACTAACGGAGCAGGTTTGAATGACACGAGGGGTTTTTTGCAGGGGGAAAAGCCATGGTGCTTGTGGGGTGACCCCCAATGCACACCAGCCGGAGTGAGGGGGTTCAGAGGGGTGCAGAGAGGCTTTGGGGTGCCAGGGGGCATGCAGTGGGGTTTAGCAGGGTATGGGGGGCACAGCAGGATCCTCTGGTGTGCAATGGGGTTCACCAAGGTGCAGTGGGGTTCAGAAGGGCGGTGGAGAGGCTCAGCAGGGTGCAATGGGGTGCTGGGGGGTACAGCGAGATGCTGTGATGGAGAGGCATTGCTCTGGAGATGGGAGGAAGAAGAGGAGGAGTGTGGTGGGAGTTTTCTGGGACTACTCCAGACCTTTCCTGCTCCCTTTCTTGCTCTTCCTCCATGCACTCGGTATTTCCAGGGCAGAGGATGCAGAATCCAATGCAAAAGGCAGCGGCATGATCTCCATGTCAAACTTAATTCTCCCTAGTGCCACCTCAGCCCCGGAGCCTCATGGAAATGGTCCAGAGGTCTTAATCCTCTGCATTTTACAGAGGATGTCCCGTGCGCTCTGCCCCAGGGCTCCCAGCTCCCGTGCCGAGCTCAGCTGGAGGCAGAACGGTGACGAGGATCTGGGGACGTGGCTCTCCCTGGGGGTGGGCTCACGGGATGTGAGAAAGAAAAGCTGAAAATGCACATTGCACCGTGCCAGGCACAGCTGCTCACGTCTCCTCGGGCTGCACTGAGCCCTGACAAGGGGCTTCACAAGCATGGGGCACCATCTCGAGGTTTAATACTGGTTTTACATGGGGCAGCCCCAATTCCCATCCCGTGGGGTGTGGAGAGGGAGCTTATCCTCCAGGTTTCTCCTTTTTCCCTGGGATGGAAAGAAAATGAATGGGTTTAGAGCCCAGAGACAGGATTTCTGGGCTTTTCCCTTGCTGGGTGAGGGGCAGATCCACGGGGGATGCGCAGGGCTCTGGCACGGGGAGGGAGAGGAAACGCAAACTGGGAGCTGGCGGGGCCACGCGTTCCCGCAGAGGAGCGAGGGCTCGAACTTATAAATAATGAAGTAGCTAGCGTGAAACATTGATCTCTGCTGCTAATGAGCACGTCGGGGAGCGCAGTCCCGAAACGGAGGCGGCAGCGAGGGCGATTCCCCCTTCCCCGCAAAGGGAACCGGGCGGCCACCCCCTGCCCACCCCGTGCCTGGCCCTGTGGGCACGAGGCTCCGGGCACAGACCCGGTGACGGGGACATCCTCAGCCCGTGTCCCTTAGGGCTGTGGGGGTCAGGACTTGCCCCTCTGGGTTTTAAGGCCGTGCCAGGATTTTAGGGCCGGGGAGAGGAGACGGCTGCGCCTCCCTGGGCATCCCCCTCCCCGTCCTGGACCGCTGCAGCGGGGGAGCTTTGGTGGGTGCCAGACACCTCCATGGTGCTGGGGGTCCAGGGCAGAGCTGGGGTGGGCCAATTGTTTCCCCCTGGGTCTTCTTAGAGGGTTCAATCCCCTGTATGGGACGAGTCCAAGCCCAGTCAGCTCCACCTCTGTCCCTGGAGCATCCCTGCATCCTGCCCACGGCTACTGCTGGGAGCACTCAGCCCCTGTGGTGCACTGGCCAGGGTGGGGGGGTCAACAATGCCAGGGACCCCCTGATGTGACCTGGGAGGTGCCACAGGGTGAAAGAGGAGGCAGGAAAAGCTCGTCTAATCCCAGGATGGGCTTCCCCACAGCACCCATCCCGAGCCTTGTGTGCCGGGGGATCCCGTCCCAGCGGCAGGGCGATGCCGTGTGCTGGGGCAGGGGGGGCTGACACCCAGCCCCCTGCCCCCCTGGGGTGCTCCTGAGTGGGTGCATCACTGGGAGCACACCGACAGTGCTCCCAGCACTGGGGTGTGGGGGGGCGGGCCCTGGGCTGCTCCGGCTGCCCCCCCCCGGCAGATGCTGTCCTGCCATCCAGCAGCGTGAGGGGGGACGCGGGCAGGAGGCAGCTCCTGCCTCCTCCTCGTCACCCCGGATATTTCGGTTACGGCAGCCCCTCATCTGCATTCACCGCGTCTCCCCCGAGCCCTCCCTTTCTGCCAGGGACAGATAACGTGGCAGCAGCAGCGTGGCGGGGCCGCGGTGCTGGCGGCAGAACCGCGGCTCTTCCTGTCGCCTTCCTGCGCCGGCCGGCATCAGCATGCAGCCAGCATCGCCCGGGCGGCCACTCGCCCCCCAGTTGTCCCCATCGGCCCCCCCCACCCCCCACCCCAGCAATCCCCACCAGTCACGGCACCGAAGTTAAACGGCCGCAAAGGGGACAGGCGCAGGGAGAGGACCGACAGGCGCAGCTCCCCCCAGCCTGTGGGCTCCGGGCAGCCCAAAAATCCTCCCTGGAAAGGCCCCTCCCTGGACGCAGCATCTCCTCTGTATCAGCAAGAGGAGAGGGGCAGCGCCGGCTGCAAAAGCTCCAGCTCGGGGCACCCCACTAACCGGGACGGTGCAAGGGGCTTCCCGAAATGCAGAGGTGAACGCAGCCCCTGCACGGGGTGGTGGGACCCCCCCCACCCCTCCCCGGGGTGGCACGGGCTGGGGTGATGCTGCGTCACGGGGTGATGGTCCCCAGCACCCACCTTGACCGGTGTCACCAGGCCCAGAGCAGCCCCGAGGCTGGTTCAGCCTGGGCGGCTGCAGCCCGAGCTGGGAGGAGGGAGCAGCGAGGCGGCAGGAATTAACCTGTCAAACAAACCCCTCGAAAAGCTTCGGCGAGCTCCGGGACCCCCAGCGCAGGGACGGGGCAAAGGTTTCCTAAACAGCTCAGCGGGAACGGGGCGGCTGCCGGGACCCCAGGCGCCGGCAGCACCGTCCCCAGCCCTGCCACGCACAGACCTGCCTGTGCAAGGCTGCAAGGGGAGTCCAAAGAGCAACATCGACGTAGCACAGAGCCAGCTTTTCCTAATCAAATCCATTAAATCATCCCAACCTGCCTGCACGGAATAATCCAAGCAAGAATAACAAACCAGCTGCGAGTCTATTTTGCTTTTGTCGGTTGGAGGGGATGCGGAAAGTAGGGTATTTGGAACCCGACGGATGAAGGGAGGGAGCTGGGATGAGGGTCCCTGAGGATGCTTCGGCACAGAAAACACGACCGTGCACCGGGGAGAGCCCGGCATCGAAACCGGCCGGTGGCCCCACGCAGGCCCCGCTGGAGACGATCCAGCCCCTTCCGGGCTGCAACTTGCCTCCATTTAACAAATAAAACACCCGACGTTTGACAACAGAGAGCGGCTCTGTGGAAAGAGCCTGTCAAGGGAATTTAAATGCAGATGATTAAAATCACCCGAATTGTGCTGGGACCTGGGCAGCAGCTCTGCAGATGCCCAGCCGGTGCCTTGGCACGCTCGGCGGCTTCGTCCTTGCTCGGTGTGGGACACGAGTGGGATGTCCCTAAGCTGGGGCTGAGGACGGGGACCCTGAGCAGCACAGAGCTGCACGCTCCACGCTGGAGGCGGCTCGGGAACAGCCACCCCGGCTGCCGAATTTATTAGGCAGCACCCGAATAGCCGGCACTGTTTAATTCCCAGCTGGACGGGGGAGAGGCAGCCGCAGGGGGATAAAGGCTTTATTGTGCGCTGGATCCGTGCACCAACACGAGACACAACCTCTGTGGCGGGGCACCACGCCGTGCCGTGCCACCCGGACCTGCTTTCCCTGCAGGATTGCGGGGGTCCCTGGGGTCCCCACCCGCCATCGTCGCGGCTCTCCCTGCTTTTCCACCGGCGCCTCCTCACCACGCGAGGTTTCCAGCCCGGCATGCACAATCCTGCTTTGCAGAGCCCAAGTGATCCTGGGGAGCTTTGCTCACGCAGGAGCACCCTGGGGAGCACCTGGACCTCTAAAACCCAGCGGCATCCCCTGGCATCCCCATAATGAAGACGCTGCCGGTCCTTTCCGAGCTGGAAGGAGGCAGGAACAGCTACAAGCGGACAAACACCCTCCTTGCGTGGGGGAAACGTGGCATTGGGCCGGGGCCGTGGGGGCACTCACCACTTTGAAGTCTTCGGGGGTGCATTGCTCCCCACGGAAGAAGCAGGACAGCAGCATCTCCCGGATATCGTGGCCAGCCCGGTCGTAAAACTCCAGCATGTTGAAAGGTTTGGGCTTGAAGTTTCGGAAGTTCGCCTTGTCCTGCAGGATTTCCAGCTGCTTCTCGTCGGCGGTCTGGGTGTCTGGGATCTCGTATCTTAGGGGAAAGAGCAGGCAGAAGCTCAGGCCTCAGCCCGGCAGCTGCTCCAGCCGGCGAAAGCCATTTGGGCTTCACATGAGCTGCTTCGGCCCCAACCCCGGCGTGGGCTCAAGCAAAGTCCCAGACTCTTTGCACGTGGAATTTTCAGAGCATCCAGCAGCACAAAGTGGCCTGGAGGCACGGGAGAGGCGGCAGGAGGATGGGCGAGGAGGAGAAGCTGGGCACTGGCCACGTACCAAACCCGTCCCACTTGCCCCAGCGCTGGTCCCGCAGCACCGGCCCTGGTTGAGGCCAGCCCAGCCGCTTGCCCTGTGCCTTTGGCGGCATCACGGCTGCAGGCAGTGGCCTCACCGGGATGTGGGCTGAGTGTGCTGGGTCTCAGCCCCCACCCTCGTGGCTGCAAACCCCTCCCTGGGGCACGAGCGGGGGCAGCGGTGAAGCCCCCGGCAAACGGCACAGGCAGGGAGTGCGCGCTGCTGCCGGCACCAGGCTCACGGCGGTGGGTTGGCAGCACCCAGAAGCTGCCGCGGCCACGGGGACGGGCTGGGGGAGGGCAGTGAGGGGCTTCCCCACGAGCTCTGCCACTGTGGAGACCCACGGCCCAAGGGACGGCCCCGACCCCGGTCCTGGCACGTGGGTGATGCTCAGCGGCTTCACCGGCTGGCATCCCTGGCCTCACCGCGTGTGTCGGGCACCCGGGGTATGGTGCTGGAGCCACGCGTGCTGGATCCACCCCGCAGGCATCCCAGCGTGACCCCGGCCTTGCTGCACGTGCCACGCACTGGGGGACGGGAGCCACGCGTGCCGGGTCCATCCAGGGCACATCCCCAGGAGCAGTGGCAGGACCTGGTGGCTCTCGGCTGCCGGTGTTGCCGCCCAGCGGCCGCATCCAGCTGCGGAGCTGAACTAACTCAGGCTCCGGTTCCCCACGGAGGCCAAGGAGACGCCGCCCACGCCAGTCATGGGGCACAAAGCTCCAGCACTCGCTGCCCCACGTGCTGTGGGGCTGGGGTGGCGGCTGGGGCCACGCGTGGTGGCCTGGCACACGGAGACGTCACCCGGGGCCACCTCGAATCACCAGCACCCACCTGTTATTGAGCAGGGCGAGGAGCTCGCCGGCGTGGTACAGGTCGTTCTTGGTCACCCGGCTGAAACGAAACTCGTTGAGGTTGCAGAAGGTGACGGCGGGGAAGGTGAGCCTGGTGGCCGCCACCTCGTCCAGTTTGGTGACGTGGGGGTAGAGGAAGTAGTACTGGATGCGGTTGGTGCAGACGAGGGCGAGCAGCGCCAGCGAGCCCAGGAAGCACAGCGCCCAGACCACGCGCTTCAGCGACAGCCGCTCGTACGAGAAGATGTGCGAGAGCCCGTGGAGGGTGGAGCTGCTGGCGAAGGCCTGGATGCTCACCGGCTGCCCGCTGTCCACCTCCTCCTCGTCCACTTTCAGGTCCATCATGGTCCGCGCCGGTACCTCGGGGTGGCCACTCTGCTGAGAAGGGAGCCCGTGGGTGCTCGGTGCTGGGGCGGGGGGGTGGGGCCTTGTGGGTGCTGCCCCTGCCCAGCCCGTGGCACCCCCGTGCAGGGATGCACCCAGCAGCCCTCACACGGGGCAGATGCTTTGCTGTGTCCTGCTCTCCCCCCCAGTTATACATATATATGCACGCACACACACATAGATGTGTATATAAATATATATATATATATTTGGGTGCAGCCTCTTGCATTTCCTCCCCTCCCACCTCCTCTCAGCCCTCCCCATCCCGTGGCAGGACTGGGGTGCTGTACCCCTCCCATCACCCCGCCGTATCCACCCCTCCCACCTGCCTTTCTCCCCCCACCCCCCACCCCCCCCCCCCAGTCCCCTGTCCCCCTCCACCTCCCTCCCAAATGGCACCGGCGCATCGACGAATAAACGAAGGAATCGAAGCTGCAAACCTGAAATCAGGGCCGGCGGCCGCGGCCGGAGCTGGGCTCGTTCTGCTCCGCGACGGCGGCTGCCGCTGCGACGCGGGTGCCGGGGCTGGGACGAGCCTCCCTCCACCTCTCGCCGCTGGGTGGGAAGACGGGAGCGGGAGACGTGCGGGCACGGAGGGTGCAAGAGGCACCGAGCCCGGCAGCAACGGGCGAACCGGAAAAGAAAAAGGGGGGGGGGGGGGGTTGTGGAACAAAAATAGCCTCGGCGGTACCTTGGTGCAAGCGTGGGAGCGGGGATGCGCCGGGGCCTCGCTCAGCGCTGTGCGGGGGGACCGGAGGCGACCATCGCCGGCGAGGAGGCAGCTGCTGGGTGCGAGGAGAAAAGAGGGGGAGAAGGAAGGCGAGCAGGAGGCTGCTTCCCTGCCAAACACATGGATACCTCCCCCTGTGGCTATCTGGGAGCTGGTGATTTCTTCAGATGCATAATCCGCATGAAGTCATTGTCTGTGCGCTGGTGGGGCCGGAGGCCGCGGAGGGGTGCCGCAGGCCGGTGGGCAGTGAGGAGAAGGAGGAGGAGAAGGAGAAGGAGGAGGAGGAGGAGGAGGAGGAGGAGGAGGAGGAGGGAGAGGCGGAGGAGCGGGGCGCTCCAGCGATTGCAGGCTGCTGGCAGGGGCTGTTGGTGCTGCTGGCGTGTGCATGTGGGTAATGTGTGTGTGCGTGTGCGTGCGTGTGCCGCTCCCATCCCCCAGCGCCTTCCAGTGATGCTCCAGCATCTCGCTCTGCCGGAGCCCCCCCTCTCCCCCACCCCCCCGCCCCGGCTCCCCCTATCCAGCCCTGACCCCGCTCTCCCCTGCCACAGCCTCCGCCGCCCTCGCAAGCTTCGCCCACGGGTGGCCCCGGCGCTGGGGCTGGGACACGCTGGGGCTGGGCCTTTTTTGGGGGGGACCGACGGCGGGAGCCTTCCAGCCCTTTCTGGCCGCCTGCTCGAGTGTCCGCCCCACGTTCCCCAGGGGAAGCCCTGCTCTTTGCTGGCACAGACCCTGCCACGATGGGGAGAAACGCTGCTGGAGGCTCTGGGCTCCTGCCCCGTGCAGGACGTGCTGCCCCTCTCCCAGCCACCCGCCTGCTGCCATTTACAGAGTCATCAGCAAGGGGCTGTTGTCCCCAGGGTGCTCCCCGGGGCAGGGGGCAGCGGGTGCTGGGTGCTCTTCTCCTCCCCGGGGCAGAGCAAGAGGGTTGCACGGCGCTGCCCAGCTTCCCCCCCCCAGCATCCCCGCAGCTCCAACCCCGCTTCACCTCCCTCTGCTCCCCACGGCTGCCCTGGAGAGCGGGGTGCCCTCATCACCCGGGCTGAACTGGGGGACGCGCACCCCGCTGCACACCCCCCCCCCCGGCAGCAGCGCGGGGAGCAGAGGCTGCAGCAGGCGCCTGCCCAGTGCTCCCAGCAAGGTGACTGAAGTCAAATGGAAAAGAGCGTTTCAGTGTCCTTTCCAAGTGGGATGTTGGAAAGGGACAGCCAGACCCCGGGGGCGTCCCAACAAGCTGTGTCCCTGCCCCAAGGTGCCTTCCCAGTGCACTGTCCCTGCTGGAACCGCGGGTAACGGGAGCACGGGCAGTTTTGGGTGCAGCAGGGTCAGGCATGCGTACCCTGTCCTCAAATCCTGTCTCTTGGACACACTTGATTTGGTCCTTTTCTGGAGCGTCCTCACTGGGTCCTTGCCCGAGCAGGTTTTTCAGTGGGACCTGCTTGGGGACATCTTGGGGGGGACAGAGATAGGGCCCTGTGAGCCAGTGTCCCCGCCTTGCTCGCCACTGGGCACCGGGACGACCCTGCCAGTGCTTGGAAACGTGACTTCAAGGCCGGGAGGGCGGCGTTTGCGTTTCCAGTTGGCACCAGTTCTGCCTTTCCCTTCCCTGCTCCGCTCTGCAGCGAGGCAGCATCGCTCCTCGCCCGGACGACACCGGCCCGCTGACAGCCGCCTCTCCATCAGGGCTCCTGATAGCAACCCGGAGAAGGATGTGCTGCTTGGATAAGGGATAAGAATATTTAAAAAGGAGTTGTGGTTTTTTTTTTTTTCCTTCCTCCCCCCTCCTTCCTTTTTTTTTTTTTTTTTTTTTTTTCTTCCATTCCAGATGAGAAGTCATTCTCTGCAGTGGTTTTATTGACAGTAAATCCACCAGCAGCGGCAAGGCTGCACGCAGGGAGGGATGAGGTTTCGGGCCGGAGTGGATGTGCACATGGAAGTACTTGCAAGCCCTTGCTTTCCTCTGCACAAGAAGCCCTGCATCTGAAGCCACCTATGTTTCCTGGGGGGTCTCGGGGGGCTGTCGGGGCCCCCCAGCACCCCAGGACCCTTTCCTGCAGGAGCCAGGGAGGAGGTGAGCAGTCGGAGGAAACTTCCTCGCCGCTGGCCCCTGGCCAGGAAGGATGCAGCTGCATCCTTGGAGTCGAGTGGAGCGTGGGGAGCACGAGCATTTCCGCGTTATTTTTCGGGGAAGCCACGTGAGGGTTGTGTTAATTCCTGCCGGGAGAGGCAGCGGGACCAGCTGAGGGCTGTGGGATGGGTGAGGAGCTAACAATTAACCCCATGTGATAATTGATAACAGCAAGACACCGGGCAGGAAAGCTCAAAGGTGGGTAGCCAAGGTGGGGGCTGGGACCTGAGAGTGGTGGGCAGTGATGATGATGATGACAAGGATGAGAGCTGCTGTGGCCGTATCCTTCCTGCACAAAATGGGTGCTCAGCCCCAGCACGGATTCAGTTAGCCAGGGCTCCCCTCAGGCATGCCCACAGATCCAATTAGCATGAGAAAAGTAATTAAGGGAAGGTGCTGCAGTGCTGAGGCTCCCAGCGCAGGCTCCAGCAGACAGGCAGGTGCTGGCGTGTCTTGGGAACACCTTGGGAGTTTGGCCAAGGGATAACTCAAGCCCTGGGGCTATTTTTTCACCTTCAGAGCAATGTTTGTTCCTGCTCCACCATGCCCACCTCTGTTACGGAAACAAACTTCCACCCTGCTTCTTGGAAGGGCAAGAGCATCCCCAGGGCAAGGGTGGGTTTGCAAGGATGGGTAAGAGATGCTTTTCCATGCTTTTTTGGGGTTAGGCCCTGCTATCGCTCCCTCCTTCGAGGCAGCCCTGGCTTGCAAATTGCTTCTTTATCTGCACCCGCCGCCCAGCTGCTGTACAGGAGGCAATTTAATTCATAATGGTCTATTAAGTACTGTGGGGATGGAGGTGCTGGGCACGGCTGCTTCCCTTCTCCGGGGCGTGACAGCTCTGGGGTGACCGGCCCTGCAATCTCCAGGATTGCTTTGTGTACTTAAGGTGAGAGATTTAATTAAAAGGTCACTGATGTGGGGTGCCACAAAGCCCTGGCTGCTGGGGCCGCAGAGGCAGCGCTTTGGTGTTCAGCTGCTCGCTGGGAGGACGGGGCCGTTGTCTGCCCCGCGCCGGGAGCCCAGCGTGGCTCTAACCCTCCATGTCGGTGGGTTTTGCAGTGCTGGTGCAGTGTCCAGCCTCGGGGCCCTTTCTGTCACCCCATCCCCTCCAGGCTACAAATTCTAGGGGGAGAGGGGGAAAAATTCAAGCCCACCTCAAAACCTGAGCTGAGAAACCTGTAAAACATCTTCACAGCCGTGCTCTGCTAATGGGTTGCAAATTGCTTCCATCAGCTCCGGTATTACAGATTGCTCATCTGAAATTGCTTCCAGGAGCCCATTTTGGGGCCAAACACTTCCTAGCTTGGGGAAATAACCATCAGCATCATTAGCAACGGTAAATTGTATTCAAGTGAAGCACTGTGGGGTCTTACTAGGATTTTTGAGGTGTGCCTTCCTCACGGGTGGTGTAGCTCCAGCGTTAGGGGCTGTTTCATCTACATGGAGCTGGGTACAGCTTCTCCCAGCCGGGCGAGCCGGTCCCCGTTGGCCATCCCCATCACCCCGGGCTGCTCCTCGAGGCGTCGCTTTGCTCCAGCTCTGAACCAAGAGCAGCTCCCTTGCCTCCACATAGGTCCTGGTAAAGGTCCAGGGCTTCCTAATTCATGAACACGTCGTTAATTATCCGCTGGAAGCCAAAACCTCAGCATCTGGGTGAGACTAACGAGGCTATTAGCAGAGCTGCTTCTTGCCATTGCTGGCTCTGCCTGGCCCGGAGCACGTTGCTGCCTTGGGTCGGCAAACGGAGGCAGAGGTAAGTCTTGTGTCACATCTCCTATTTGCTCTTGCCGTTTAAACAAAGCCTGATCATTTCTGAGAGCTTTCCGAAGGAAACCACCACATCTAAACCCTGGGAAACGAGAACCCAGCGCGAGCAACTCAGTGACACCGTGGGATTCCTAAATCGAGCTCATCCCCATCGCCCAAGTGGCGGCAGATGTGAAGGGTCAACCACAGCCCTGGCAGAGGGTCGAGCCATGGCACCCGGAGCTGCTGCTCACAGGAGTTATCAGCAGGGTTATCCTGAGTAAAAATGCAACCGTTTAGAATCAGCAGTTCACCCGCCTCCCTGCTCCGAGCTGCTGGGTCACTCGCCCCCGTGCAGAGTGTCTCTGTCTGATTTATGCCGTGTTGCGCTCTGCTCTCGCTTGCACCCGCTTGGCTCTCCCGGCGCGAGGAGCAGCCAGTCCATTAAACACTGAGTCATCCTCAGAGGCATTTAATTTTGTGAGGGGCAGCAGTTTGGATAATTAAAGGCCTCCGTGGCCAGAGCCGGCGGCCGTGGAGAGCAGGGCTGACAGGGAAGGCGAGGACACCCAGCAGCATCCATTAATCAGGTGCCACCACCACGGCAGCGAGGCCCGGGCAGAGAGGTGGCTCCTCTCTCCCACCTTCCCCTCTCCGCCTTGCATTTTGGGGAGTTTTTTAACCTTTTCCTGCCTCAGATGAGGGCTTCCTTGGTCAGGTGAGTGCAGTGATGCTTTTTGCTATTTCTGCCTGAATTAACCACATCCTGATGGGATCTCCCATGGGCAGATATGTTATCTGGAAGCCTTGGCTTATTAAAAGGACAAGCTATTCAGGGAGCTGGTAATAAAGCCTTGAAAGCTTTTACGAACCAGAGTTGAAGGCACTAATATCGCTGTGCTCTGCGTGGGTGAGAAATTAGACAAGAGTTCCTCCGTGCTGATGGTTTTTTCTTCCTCCCCCCTATTCATCTTTCTCAACAATTATCTTTTATTTTGATATCTTTCTATTTAAACCTTCAGAACCGCGCTCGGGATAAAAAGGAGGCTGAATCGCTTAACAACCAGGCACCTTGCAGCGCGGGTGCGGGGGACCTGGAGACACGGCGAGTGATGGGGAAGGGGGGAAGGTGGCTTCGGCTCTCCTGAGGTTTTGTCAGCAGGAGACAAACTCCCCGGGGCCCGTCTCCTGTGGGAAGGCAGATACACCTCCTCGCCAGCAGCCTCGGGAAGAGCCGTATCGCTGCGTCTATGTTGCACCAACATGGCACACCTGGGTGTGAATATCTGGGATTTCCTCCTCTTGCTGCTTGTCACCCTCGGATCTGGCTGCCCCTCGCCTGCTTTGGGGCTGCTGTGTTATTTTACAGCCCTTTCAGGGCTGTTTCTACTCTCTTGCCATCCCGGAAATCTTGTGATCGATCAGCTGCAGCTTTTCAGAGTTGTGAATGGCACATAGCAAACCGAAGGCGGATGGAAACCC